AGACTGAAACCGAACTGAACCGGCTGGTTTTTTCAAAATTTTAATCTGTTTAATCGGTTTTTTTTTTTCAATTCGATTTTTTCAAATTTTTTTCTGGTTTTCTCAATTTAATCGATTTTTTGATTTTTTTAAACACCTATATTATTATTATTATTATGTAAAGGGGGTTTTAACTTAAATATTTTGAGGGGAGAGAGAGAGAGAGATACCTGTTGAACTAATTTAATAAGCTTCACTGGTCATTAGTATAGTGTAATATAAGATATATTTAAGATGAACACAAGTCAATGTCTAAGTGAAAGATCGAGTGAATTGAGCAAGAACAATTAATTTTTTTTAAAAGAATAAAAAACTCTAAATAATGTGTTAAAAAAAAAATTAAGTTAGATTCCCATCCACCTGCCAAACTAGGTTTATTGTTCAAGCATATGAACATGTGTATGGTCAAAGAACGGAGTCCGTTCTTCAAACAAACTCTTCACACCGAATCTGACCAAAATAGAAGTCATCCTTCATTCTTTCAACAGCATCTTGGATTATAATATGTTTAATTATATTTAGTTAATATACCTAATTAACGAATTTGATAAAAGATTAAAAATTAATAAAATTTGAGTCATAATTCTAAAATTTTAACTCAGGTTAATATAAAAAAAGATATTTTTTTAAAATTAAAACTATTTTAAACAATTTTTATTTTTAAAAAATCAATATATTAATAGATAAGTTAGCCTAAGATCAAATCAAGTATTTTATCTAATGAACTTGGATTTTGAACCAGGTTTTCTTTAAAAAACACTCAAACGTGTAAAAACAATGTTTTGATGATTAAGCTCTAACTAAATTTTATCAAACTAATCAAGTGTTTTTTTTAAAAAAATATTCACATCAACCACTAATCTTAGGTTTAAAAATAAAAATAAATCAGTGAAAACATGACAAAAAAAATTCTAAATAAAAAATACTAATTAAGTGGCTTATGATATGTCGCGGACTCTCCTTTTATGTTCATAAAAAATTTGGGTTCTAATTTTAGTAAGACCCAAGGCTATTCGGGTCCTGCCTCAATCAAAACCTAATTCTATTTTGAGTTTTGCTCGGTCTGGATCCAATATTACCTGAGTCCTACAAATAGTCAAATTATTTTGGGTCTTGCAGCTTGTTAGACCTAGAATATTTGGGTCTTATCTAGCCAGAGTTCAAAGATATTTTAGATCTTGTAGAGGCTAGAATCTAAAGTTATTTTGGATCTTGCAGAGCTGAGACCCAATATTGTTTTGGATCTTCAATTCAGCTAGACCCAAGGCTACTTAGGTCCTGCACACAGTCGGAACCAGGTTTTCTTTAAAAAACACTCAAACCTAGGTTTAAAAACAATGTTTTGATGATTAAGCTCTAACCAAATTTTATCAAATTAATCAAGTGTTTTTTTTTTTAAAAAAAATACTCACATCAACCACTAATCTTATGTTTAAAAATAAAAATAAATCAGTGAAAGCATGACAAAAAAAATTCTAAATAAAAAATACTAATTAAGTGGCTTATGATATGTCGCGGACTCTCCTTTTATGTTCATAAAAAATTTGGGTTCTAATTTTAGTAAGACCCAAGGCTATTCGGGTCCTGCCTCAATCAAAACCTAATTCTATTTTGAGTTTTGCTCGGTCTGGATCCAATATTACCTGAGTCCTACAAATAGTCAAATTATTTTGGGTCTTGCAGCTTGTTAGACCTAGAATATTTGGGTCTTATCTAGCCAGAGTTCAAAGATATTTTAGATCTTGTAGAGGCTAGAATCTAAAGTTATTTTGGATCTTGCAGAGCTTAAAACCCAATATTGTTTTGGATCTTGCATCCAGCTAGACCCAAGGCTGCTTGGGTCTTACACACAATCATATTCAAGGCTATTATGAATCTTATAGCCTGCGGGGTATAAGGCTATCTGGATACTACCCAGTCAATACCTAAGACTATTTTGGGTCATGCAGCAACTAAGACTTAAAGCTACTTGGGTCGTGCAGAAGCTAAAACTCAACGCTGAGACCCAAGGTTATTTTGTGTCTTGTAGTGACCAGGATCAAAAACTATTTTGGATCTTGCACCCACCGGAATTAAAGGCTATTTTGGGTCCTGCACCCAACTGGGATCAATGCTATTTAGGTCTTGCATAATGCTTGACCCAACATAAATATTTATAATATTAATAATAATATTTAA